GAGTATCTTAACGCGGCAATTCAGAAAATAATGTAATTTGTACAATGCCATCTATTACGTTCATTGTGAGAAAACTTTTTTAATTTAAGGAAAACATCTTTTTTAATTTAAGGAAAACATCTTTTTTATTGTTTACTTTGTTATAAGTATAAATATGTTATTATAGAAGGTTTTTTTACACACAAATCTTTTTATTACTATTTCTGAGATTTTATGGCGTCATTGAACAAATTAGAACCTACATTTTGAACTAATAATCATAACTTTCGATAGAATTAACCAAATTTAATAAAACAAAAATTAAATGTAACTTGAAGATACGCTATATGATTTTCTTAACGATTTCTTTAAAAAAAATGTTTACTTTAGATGTGATGCGTTTATAAACAAACAGACAGACAGACAGACAATTCTAAAAATTATTAAAATGTGTTTACTTAATTATTTTCATTTCCCTATAATGATTTTAGTGACAAATATTCTATACAATGTACAAAAACAGACACAACATGTTATCACCATTTTTATTATAAGTATATATTTAAAGAGAGATGGCGCTGCTAACAGCAATCAATTCTAAAAATAAAAGAAATTAATTGACGCGATTGGTACATTATTATAATATATAAAACATAAAAGAACTTATAAACCAGTGTCTGCATAGTAAGCAAAACGCCTTTTTATATTACATTTGGACCATACCGCCATCTATCGATGAAATTGGTTAACTATTTCACTTTAGATTTAGTTAATATTCTTATAATATATTTTTGTTTATTATTTTATTTAATACGTTCTTTTATACTTTTGTTTACTGCGTTTTAGATATAATTATATCATTATAGAACATTATTTTACCTAATTTTATTATGATTTATGATATAGTATTAGTTTAAAATGCACTTGATGACTCAACCAACGCCACCGTTGAACAAATTCGTACCTATACATCGTATTCATACTTCAGAATATTTATCATAACTTTTGATTGAATGAACTGATTTTAATAAAATAAAGACTAAATGTAACACGAAGATACACTTTATATTTTCCTTAATGACTCTTATGATATAAATTAGTACTTTATACGTGATACGTTAACAAACAAACAGACAGACAGACAGACAGAAAATTCTAAAAATGGTAGAAATGTATTTAGTTACTTATTTTTAGTACCTCTCAATCACTTTTATTACAAAAATATAAAATGTACAGACGTCTGCTTTTTATATTTTTATTATATGTATAGATAGATTATTGACGCTAGACAGAAAATACTTTTATGCGTCAATGCCGTTCTTGATCAAATTGCGCATAACCTGTTATCATCCCGGCGAATTGTAACGTCCGATAGTTTGTTAAACAATTGAGGGTTACTTTGAACGAAATTTGTAATTTTTTAATTTTTAATTTTGTACTCAATAAAATATGGTTTGCAGCTATCAGTAATTTTAGGACCACACATAGCCCTGATGCACCTTTTTTTGGACTTAAATATAATTTCCTTATTCGTAGAATTTCCCCAGAATATGATGCCAAACCTCAAGGTGGAATCAACAATACGGTGGTAAGCCGTGAGAAGCGCATCAATAGTTACGACGGATGCGAGTTTATAGAGCGTATAAGCAGAAGAACTAATTATCTTGCTTAGTTCTTCTGTGTGCGCTTTCCAGTTCAGACTTTTATCAATAGTTACACCTAGAAATTTTGTTGTGTTTACTTTATTGATTTCTATTCTTTGGTAATTAACGTTAATATTTGGTATTGCTAAGCGTTGACTGAAGTACCTACATAATTTTTGTTTTTTGAAGATATATTTTTAAATTATTATTATTTAACCAGTTGATTATTAATTTGATTGTATTATAATTGTCACTTTCAAATGTATCCTTATTGATGGAGTTTATTGTGACCGTACTGTCGTCGGCACAAAGCGATATTGGATATTTTGTTATTATTGGTAAATCGTTGGTAATTCACTGTGTGAATATTTTGTAAACTTATAAATAATATAACATAATTAAATAAAATCTTTTAATGTATCAGACATTTACTCAATACCACTAAAACATATGTTGAAACAAAATCATCCATGATTTCCACCAGTGTTTCACAATGTCACTGCATGCGAAGTACATATAATAAAAGAATATGAATATTACGAAATATTCGTTCTAAGGCACCAAATTAAATACTCGTATATTTTATTAAAACGTATGTGTGCCATAAAAATTTTGTTTATGTACTATTTATATATTTTTTGTTTAAAAAAATAATTTTAAAATGTATTATTTATTTACTTTTCGCCCCGACTGATTTCTTAATGTACAGACTTTTTGAGGAGATCAAAGTTGCATATTTTATATGGCAATTAAAACCTGAACGTGAAGACGGTATAGTAGTCAAAGACGTCCGAACGTCCTCTACCTCTTGACCACTTACAATTATATAAAGTATAGTTTTAGTATACTTTAAGTAAATCTAAATATAATTGCTTCACGAAAGCAATAAATGAACTGAACGATAAACTTCACAGGTACCAACTAGTTCTTGGAACTTGTGCCTCCCGCTCCGTTTCCCCTGTCATTAAAGATTTGTGTTATCGTGTACAGAGTGTTTCAATACGTTGTTGCAAATGTGATACTATATTTAGAAATTTAACATTGTATATAGCAACATCATTAGTGCGTGACGTCGTTTCTTTTCCTGATTATCTAGTCTGAGACACACGTATAGTGTTATCGAGGCGCATCTACTCTATACGTAATGTAAACTTACTAGTGGTCGCATAGTGGTCAAAATTTGACAGTAATTCATAAAATTATTAGGTTTGTATATTAAGCAAGCACATTATTAAATCAAACACGAATGGGTCGAGCCGACCCATTCGTGCTACAACTATACTACTAATATAGCTGCAGCATGGCTCTACCACGTATAGAATGAATATTCTTGCGTGTAGATTCATCTGTGCATCTTGGTAATTGAAATTATTCTCGAAAGTTAAGAAATCAAGTTACTAAATACTTGCGAAGCTATTTTTCCGATATCATTTAGTTTAGAACAATTATATTTTAACTAGAAACATTTAAAAGTTGTTTGTCTCAGTTTATAAATGCTAAAATTAAAAACAAATGAAATTGCAAAATCTTTTTTCATATCAGTCAATAATCAATTTGCCTTTTATCATATCTTAATTGCATTATGACAAAACGAACAGATAACTAAGCTTGATCGTGCAATAACAAATGAAAACGTACCTATTAATTTATTATAATCTTTTGTGGTTATTACTTTTTACGTATTTATTTCATAAATTAATGTAGCAAATCGCTTTTAAATCACGACACTCGAGACCACCCAGCCGTGGTGCTTTCTACTTATCATCAGATGCGTTTACTCTACTACTATTTTAACCATAGCATTCCGGGTCTCTTTTGCGCGGAACGATATCTTTAGTAATTTAATACAATATTAGTGTTTTATTTTTATGTATTGTTCGCGTGTATTTTTAGAATTAATTTGTAAGACCTTTAAGACACTAAAAAGTTCAGTTTACATTATATCAGGCCATTCATGTGATTTTTAATAAACAGATATTTTTCAGTTAATGAAGCACCTCTCTGGAACACCTTCCTTGTGTACAGAGAATATCTAATAATCCGCCAGAGTTCCAAAACGAGATTATTGACTTCATTTGTTTGTACAATAACTAAATTTACCTATTCATTTTAATAGGGATGCAGGCAATATGTAACTAATTAATAGAGTAGAAATTTATTTCCAAATGTTAATTATTCTAAATTTAATGGGAAGCGGTTCTAATCTTTGTGGGGTCCATTCGTGTGCAGATTGGCGGATTTTATTTATGTCCACATTTCCTCACCATGTTTACGGATTGTAACATTAATTGCGTACCTAGATTATTTTTTGTTATTTGTCTGCTATTTATTATACGTAGTTATTATCTGTTATTCGTTTACTATAAAACAATAAAGCTATTGGTCTTTTTTTAACAAAATTTGTAACTTGCACGTCTTGTCTTTCTCCCGTTTTTGTCAATTTTTATTGAACAAAGTGAAGATTACAATATAGAGAACATGTCATTATAGTTAATATTACAGTATATTATAGTTAATATTATATTGTAATCGTACTTTGTTAAAAAAATTACTATCCTTGGACAATTGTACAATGAATCTTAAGCAAAAAATATACGTTTACAGTTAATGTCTTTTCATTTTAATATCTAACTTTTTCATTTTTATCTTCAAAATTAAATTATAAATACTTTTTCCAATTGCTTAAACGTGTTCAAGACTTAATTAAATTAATTTATTTTTTAGTAAGCGCCTCCGTGGAAATATATGTTTTAGATGTGGTTCCAGTCTTGTTTCTTGAATAAGTATTATTGCTAGCCATTTAAAGACAGGCGCTTGAATTACAGAACATTATTACGTTCAAAATATTGTAAATTTGTTGCTTTTTAACTTATTTTTGATAGAAAATCTATGTATGAATTAATGTTTATGGAGATTCATTTTATTGAAAAACTAAACGTCACACTGTTTACATTACAAGCGTAGTTTCAACAACTTTAATTTATACGTGTTAGAGCCACGCTGTAGCTAACTATATACGGTGAATGTAGAGAAACGGGAACCCTTTTAATGGAAATGAGGCATTCCATCTTCGTCCTCAGGTCTGTTAACGCATCCACATTTTGATTTTTAATCAAAGACAGATGTAGTTGTCTATAGGCCACAGCATCGGCATACTTGGACTAAGTGATCGTTTGTCACCCATGTGCCCCAATACTCATACACTACACAATTTTAAAGCGCCGTTAAGTCTCGTGCTGTCTCTATCACTTTAAGTCAAAGTAACTGTGACACAACGAGACTTAACGACATCTTAAAATTGAGTAGCGTTTGAGTATTTGGCTATTAGACTATAATAAAAGATTGAAAATAAATTAACAATACTATTTTTATTTACAGATTGGGGCGCCCACAGTGAGCCGGGCGAAGTGAGCGAACCCGAGGCCGGTCGCATGCGTCCCGAGGACTACCGCCTCGTGTTCCTCAGCTCGGACTCGTCGTGCCGCGAGGACACAGAGGACTCCTCATCCACGGCCTCTTCTGTAGCACCGCCTGTACCCGACGACTGCGACTGGGACTATTTCGAACCCGGAGCAGCGTCAACACAGTCCCTCCCACCACCTCCGCCTAAATATACGCCGCAAGTCTGTCCTAAGACGTGTTCCTGTGGTGCTGAACCACGCTTAGTAGCAGTACCAGTGCCAGTACCCGTGCCTGTACCCGCTGCACTTTGGCCGGCCTTACTCGCCTTCCCTACACAAACACCGCCCGTGCCTCACTGGAACACCTATCCAGGATTCCCGCCTCTCGATGCTGCAGCTCTCGCTCGGCTCACCACGGCCGCTGCCGTCGCCGTCACCGCCGCCGCCACTGCCACTGCTCTACCACAAACAAATAAACTCGAGATGACCGTCGAACGCACCGATAAAGCTATACAGTCTGAAACGTCAGAAGTATCAGATCAACGCGATAACGATAACAACGATAAGACTATTGAACGCACATTCAAACATGAATCGTCAGACGACATCAAGGTGATTGCCGAGGAAGATTGTTTGTCAGTATCGTCGGAACCAGCGGACACGATGCCGGGCCACCTTAATGCCGAGAATGCTTTCCCATCATCGAACGAGTCGGCTGACTCTAGCGATTCGGAAGAAGGTGTTGCTCATAGGAGCTATGATCTCAGAAGTGGAGCGCCCGAGGAGCCCGCAACATCAGATGAGGACTCTGACGACTCCGGGGGTGGTGGCGGTCAATTCTCACGAGTGTTCGTTGTTAACCCCGCCGATTCCTCATCAGATTTAGAGGACAACGCAGACAGCAGCGGTATCGATTGTGATGATTCCTACGACAAAAAGTCTGACAGTCTAGAAATAATTGCAGTGGAAATGTTGGAACAAAATGAGAATAATTTAAATGCTGACATAAATGAAAGTGTGGCTCAAAACAGAGATGTTAATAATATTGTATTACTAAATTCTATGAGCTTTTCGGGTGATAACCAAGTCGCTTCGTGTAATAGTGGTGAAGAAAGCAGTGATGACTCTGTCGGAAGGTCGAATATTATTAAATTTTGTGACGAAAATATGCTTCGAAGTGAAACTTGTGAAAAATATAATAGTTTTAATGCAAGTTGTAGCGCCATTATAGATAATTCCGATTACAAAAATAGTGAAGATAATAATCAGTGTAAAAATACAATATCGGAAAATATGGAATGCGATTCAATGGATAACAGTTTTAATTCCGACAACAGTATGAAAGTAAAAGTGTCGGTGAAGTTACAGGATGAAATATACAACGAAAAAAATGCATCATCGCCGGAACCCAAACTTGACGAAAAAAACTCACAAAGTGTAGAAAAAATAGACCTGTTTAAAGGTATTGAACGGACGCTCAGTGCACTATTGAAGAAAGAATTATTAGAGGAGCAAGGGGAGGAGAAAACACACGGCGTGTGGCCGGTTCGCACTGAGATAGAGGGGAGCGCGGGCGCACCTGCCGCCACGGCAGTTTGCCGCTCGCGCACGCCCGGTGCGGACGGGTCCGCGCGCTTCACTAGCCGCGTTATGATAACGCACGACCGAGTCTCCGTCGTCACGTCAGACACGACGCGGCTCATGCGGGATATTACAGTGCACCACACAAATTCACAAAACGAATTGGAACCCAACACCAGTGATTCAAACTCACAAAACGAAACAAACGAACGAGTTTCCGACGACGAATCGCCGCAGCCTTCAGGCGGAGTGACTGTTGTTAGCAACGCCGACACTCTCTCGGCGGTCGTGTGCCTCGAGGAGGGATTGGCAGACGACGACTCATGGGTCGAGGACGTCAGCCATGACGAAGACGGTACTACAACTTCGGACAGTGACTCTGGCGATGAGGCCTCTCTTCCCACTCGGGGAGAGGATTTTGCGTATTGTAGACGTTCTTTAGACTTCACTTTACACACGATCGTTGAAGAAAGTTGCGAGGAAAGCGAAGCGGAAAACAATACGAAAAAACCTCGACCAATTTCGGCCACAGAATTAGAAAAATACTTTTTCTTTGGCCTAGGTGACGGAAGAAATGTTCGCGATGACGATGACCAGGTATCAGAAACGTCCAGTGTATGTAGTGAGGGTGGTGAATCAATTGTGGACAATGAACAGCCGAAAAGGAGTAACGACAACGACGATCTTGTTTCGTCGCGTTTGGAGAAATACTTCTTGTCCGGGTTCATGGGCTTTAATCAGGAGAGGCGGGATTCTGACGGTTCCGGAAGCGTCGGTAGTGATAGTGAAGGTAAACAAAGCCCAGAACAAAGGCGAAAGCGACTAGTACGCGCTCGAGGTACGCCGCGGTCACATTCTTCTTCTTTAGATAATCTACTGACAGGGGATGAGCCTTCCCAGGACACAAAGGAAGTATCGGATGGATCTAGTACGGAAACAGAAGACCGACATGAGTCCTTGGAAAGGCTTGACATGCCAGGAGAATCCAAAAGAAAGAAGCAAACTAAAAAGACGCGTGGGTCGCCAGCAGACGAAAGGCGACAATCAATGGAGTTTTCGGAAGAAACCCGTGACGACACAAGGTCTGTTTCAGAGGGCGAAGATGGTAGGTCTTCACCTCGACCCGAATTCCCACCGCTTGGATCTGAATTATCTGAATCTAAAAAACAAACTAGTAGAGATAGCGGTTTTGTAGGAAGCTGCGATGACCTTCTTAAAAACGGTGATTCGAGTAATGAATTTACGCGATCTCATGAGCCGAAGACAGAATTAGAAGAAATTGTAGAAGAAATAAGGCCCGATTTAGATGAACGCACAGAACGCCCTCCGACTTCCCGTCCACCGCCAAGCCCATTAACACGTAAAGATAGCTTTAATAATTGGTCGTCTGACGAAGAAACCAATCTGATGATGACGAAAATGAGACAGTTTTTCAAGCAAATGATTAACTCCGCAAATGTACGAACTTCTACACCCGCATCGTCTAATTCAGAGAGTTCGAGGCCACCAAAACCGCCCCAACTTTTATATTTTGAGAGCGAGTTAACAAGATTAATGAAAACAGTTCCGGGTATTCGCGACGAAGAGGTACGCGAGATAGTAGAATATCTATCAAGTGAAGACACTTGGAGCGACTCATATGACTCATCGGATTATGCCGGGTCTGATTTAGAGGGCACGGCGGCTACAAGGTCCGCTTTAAGAAAACAAATATCTGACAGCTGCCGTGAGATTATAGACGAATTTGATCGAGGTCAAGATGCAGGGTCGTTGGAACGTGACGCAGTTGGTGCCTACCAAAAGTTGGCAGCGACGTTGGGCCGTGCTGGGGAAGGATCACCTCCCTTATTTGGCAAGGTTATGCGGCACATAGGAGGCAGACTCGTGGCATTGATGCATGAAGTATCAGGTGGAGCGTCACCTAGCACAGATGACGACAGTGCGTCAGAGCCGGGTGCGTTAGCACGGAGTCGATCTCATGATATATTGGAAGCGACGGCTAGTAGGGGTAGTGTGGCGAGTGATTGTGAAAGATTTTCATGGCGTGGCAGTTTCGAATCTGCCTTATTAGCGGCTGATTCGCGTGGCACATTAGGTGGACCAGGGTGTGAGGCGCGAAGATCACCCGCAGGAGCTGAATTAGCAGCTCAAAAGTCCCATTCTAGAAGTTGTGGTGCCATTGCAGGCAGTGAGGATAGGCTGTGGCGTGGTCGGCGACGGGCTTCCGCACCTGATGCTGAGGTAAGAATTGACATATTTTTTTTTGAATATTAATATTTTTTTTCTTTTATACTTATACTTTTTAAACCACAAAAGAATTAAACCTCCCAATTTATTATTTGGTCTAATATTGTACTTTAAAACGGTAGTAGATATAAAGAAACACTTTTAAAAGAAGATTTTTGTTAAGTTCCAAAGTTAAATAAAGAAAGTTTTTATTTCATCGCTCATTTATTAGCATACGCTATATAAACACCCGATTCAATATGATCCCATTATTCAAGCGACAATTTATTAAAACAAGAAGTGTTCATCTCAAGTCAAACCTGGAACCGGCTAATCGTAACGAAAATACAACGAGCACTATATTATTCAGCATCTAATTCTATTCGGTTATAGTAAACGGAAATTCTATAATCGCAACGTATTGCCAAATATTTTCCTTCGCAACCTCACACGTAATTTTCAATGATATAAGGAAGTCAATGTCAAGTTTTATTTGTTACTATTTAAATAAAGTTGAATCTTAGGTATTATTGTTTTGTATACATTATTATCAATACACGTTACTACGACTATTCAATAGATATTATTATATTATGCAAGGACTTATTCCCCGCCGGCCCAAATTAAATTATTAATTGCATTTTTAATTTCTAATTTACACTTGTTCGATAGTGAAGGAAAACATCGTAAGTTATTCTATGTCCGTAAAATCAAATATTTCACAATGACATGTTAAGTCCGCCAACACGCACTGAAACAGCGCAGCGGACAAATTGCTCACAATATTCCTAACAAAAATAAGTAAAGGCCAGTGCCAAGCAATAGGATGTATTTAATCTTTATATACGTGGTACTTATAAGGTATTTGGTTGTGGTGGATGTACTTTTTATACGTGGTAGAGCCATGCCGCATCTATATTAGTAGTATAGTTACAGTTATAGGGTCGGCTCGACCGGGGAAGGACCATGCTCTCACAGAATACCAGCGTAAAATAGCAGCTTAACACTGCTGTGTTTCGTATGTTGAGTGTAGAGAACCGGATACCCGTCTTACTGGAAAAGAGGCATTCCATTTTAGTTCTCACGGGTGACAACGCATCTGCATTTTGATTCTTTATTGAGGATAGATGTATGGGTCTATGGGTCACAGCAACCACTTACCATCAGGTGGACTGTGTGCTCGTTTGTCACCCTATCCTATAAAAAAAAACATTATAATAAAATTATTTCATTAACAGTTCAATTATATTGGCGCATGCGTCCATAATTATCAAAATTATTGCATAAATATTGGGACTATATAATTCACTGACAAGGCTTTAAGCATGCGAGCTAACGTTATCATTAGTTGTTAGACGTTGATTTGCTTTTAAACATTTTTGAAGTTAAATATTTATTTTTACTACAGTCAGAAGAAGAGGAACGAGCAGGATCTCTTCCTCGTCTTCCGTCGATCACTGGCACGAATACAGTGCCAGCAGGTCCTGTAAAGTCAGCACGGTATCGTGCACCTGGATTCCGTACCGCTACGAGAGCCGCCTCAGCGCCTGGCCTCCATGTGCCTAGGAGAAGAAGGCCTCCTCCTACACCACACCAGCCAGCACCAGCCGCGCCCGCTTCCGCGCCGAGCTTGCAGGGTGAGTTAATTTTTATAATAGTTGTTGTCGAAATTTGATACGTTATAACTTTCACAAAGTTTATAAAATAATAATTGGTCACAGGCACTGGAAGCCCTTTATGCACTCAATAATAACGTATAATGTAAACATCTATCAATTTACTTACGCCACTTTAGGTTTTATATTGTATATAAGTAAGCAACGGTACTTTTTCAACCGACTACAAAATAATTAAAGATTAAAAATTTTATACAACCGACTTTAATATAAATTATTAAGAATAACTCAAAAACTATTGATCAAACTTTCTATGAACTGTGGATCAAACCTTTATCAAATTTATACGCGACCACATTTGAAGCACCAGCTTTCAAATAAAGAAAGAATCATCGAAATCAGTTCATCCAGTAAAAAGTTATGAGGTAACACATACAAAAAACATACAGTCGAATTGAGTACCGTCTCCTTTTTGAGGTCGGTAGAAAAGGAGGAGGTTCTCAGTTCGACTGTGTGTTACCTCAGAACTTATTTCTAGATGAACGGATTTTTATGAATCTTTTTTTATTTGAAAGCTGGTGCTTCTCATGTGGTGCCATATAATTTGATCAAGATCTGACCGGTACTTTTTGAGTAATTCTTAATAATGCGTATTTAATTGACTTCGACTACATTGATAATGTTCTCATTTTATTTATATTGAAGTCGGTTGTATAAATTTTTTATTTTTAACACTTGTAATATTTTATGTCCTTCGCTTTTACTTTATCTATTGTCTTTAACCCTGATCACACAGACCACTTTTCATTACAGTTCTAGCTGCTAGCTCTAGCTGTTGTTTTAATGCCCATGCATAATATTCATATACTGAATAAGGTAATCCGAAACCAATCAAATATAATAGTAGTAAATGTACTCATTTTGTGCTTTTGTACTATTATAATTATCATGCAATGAGCCCTAGTTAAAATTATTTTACCAGTGGCAGGTACATCACGCTGCTATTCTTGTCGACTGAATCCAACTCTGCTTACTAACAAAATAATTTGTATACCCATATTTAACAGAAATCCTTCATAAAAGGAAATTATGGGGCAGGGCTTTCTTTTGCAGCGGAGTTTTATAGGTTGTAATAAATGAATGAAGCATCCCTTCCATTTTTTGAAATCTTAAAAAACAAATTTTTTACAATTTTTTAAATTTACTATTTTTAAGAGGATTGTGAAGCTGTAAATTTTTATACAAAAAGCGATAACGTTTTTCCCTAAACGTAGTCTCATTTTCATAATTTTGGAAATTTTGTAGATATAAGTAATAAAAAAACTTACGTACGATATAAGTTATAAACATCTAAATATCCATATTTTTGACTTAAAGACATTCTTAATTGTTATTTTTTATTTTTCATCAGTTATAATATGCCATTCGAATTTTGACGTACCTTACACAAAGTTTAAGCACTCCGTAATCTGTATTAGCATTTACAATACTAAAGATATGATATACATAGTATAGAATTAATATTTTTTTCCTGTTTAGTAGGCTTCTTTTTGTCTAGGAATTCGCCTCGTTCAAGAGGTAGGTACAACTACACAAAAGGTATAGTCATAAAAGGTACATATTTTTGCCGTCTGACTGTAGTGAATCCAATGTTATGTTCCGGTCGAGGGGTATGGAAAGTTACAGAGCTACTAAGGCTGTGAGCCAATACATCTTAGTAACAACGCCCCTGTAGTCTTCTTTGTTGAAGTTAGCTGTAATATATTATTTGAAACCAATGATATTATAAAAAAATATCATTGTTTGAAACCATACTTTTTAGGGTTACGAGACGGCAGGAATTTTCCTGACATTGTCATGAAATCAGGAAAAATTGCAAAAATTCAATTTGTCACGAATTCTTGAAAAGGAAAGAATAATAAAAAAAAACTATTCACATTGCATCGTCGCACGCCGCAGGTCACGCTTACCACACTGAACTTGATGGGAATTTATGGGAATCCACGCGCGATCGCGCGACCTGTTGAATTTTTAGCTGCTCCTATTTAGTCCGCAGAGTGTAGTAACCGGTTTTTTTTAAGTCAGTGTTTGGCTGCTATCTCACCTGATGGAAGTAGTGATGCACTCGAAAAGATAGTTAAGCACACTGACTTATCTTAAAGTTAAAGTTAACATCCTATATACGTCCCACTGCTGGGCACAGGACTCTCATTTCTGAGAGGGTTTTAGGGCAAGGAAATGTCCGACGCGCTGCCACAACGCGTGTTGGCGAACTTCACATGTCTTCGAAATATTTTTTTATCTCATTTATTTCTCAGACAAGCAGATTTCCTCACGATGTTTTTCTTCACCGCCGAGCACGTGGTAAATCAGCACTTAAAATTGCAATTAACAATTTCATTGGTGCCGGCGAGGATCGAACCTAGGTTGCTCGCGTACTTTGAAATTTACAACGGGCGCTTAGGCGCTGAGCTATCACGGCTGACTTATCGTAAAAAAACATATTCACTCTAGCCTAAAAGATATGATAATTATATGGATAGACATGCTGGGTAATTATTCCACTATTTATCTGTACGCATGAAAAACGACGAAGTACGAGTAAATAGTTTGGTTCGAATGCGTGGTATATATCGACAACAAAGGGGTGGAGATCGGTCAAGCGTCTGGTTTTCCGAGTTTTATTTTTTCTTTTTCTTTTTCTTTTTTTTTATTGAGACACTGAATGACGCTTTGGGGTTTTGCTTGACACTAGTAAGGTCGGCTAGTAACTAGATTATTAATTAAATAAAGAGATAAAATTTGCTAAATAATCAAATTTGTTGAATAAAAGCAATGGCCACTTTCTATAAAAACAGCATACGTAATTGCTATAAAAATAATGATCAAAATAGTGTAAATTGTAGAGCTTATGATTCGATCTTGAGGATATTGAGAAATTACAGTTCGTGAGACATTTTTAAATATCGTAGGTGCAGAAGCCACTTGCCATCAGGCTGACTGGTTTACTCGTTTTTCATTTTGATGTTACTCGTATATAATTTAAAATTTAAAATTTTGTACAGCCGACTTCAATATAAATTATTAAGAATAACTCAAAAACTATTGGTGAAGTACCAGCATTCAAATAAAAAAAACAATCATCGAAATCAGTTCACCCAGCAAAAAGTTATGAGGTAACACACATAAAAAAAAAACATACAGTCGAATTGAGTACCGTCTCGTTTTTGAAGTCATCAAAAATCTTGTTATTTTACAAACCTTTTTAATAAATTTGATTAAAATTTGTGTGGCTTACTTGCAAAGATCGAAATATTGTAAAGTAAGAAGTATTATATTAACAGTGTAGTGGCGGTGTAAGAATATCCACTACCCATATCGTCCCGAGCGTGTCGTAGGAGGCGACAGAGGGAAACTGAAACAGGAGATGGACGGCAGCATCTTCCTGATAACAACTCTAATAATAAACTGCGGTTGCCAACCCGCTTGCCAAGCGTGGCAACTATTGCAAAATCCTCCCATGAGGCAATGCACAAGGGAGGCTTATGTTCAGCAGTGAACTTTCATAGCTAGTAGGTAATGGATGAAGTATTAAGTAACTGTGTGTTTGACTCCAGACTGAAGATGAACTGACTGAACAATTTATATGCGTTTACCTAAAACCAGGAAGCTGGCAAATAGGTAAAAACGATTATGACAAGACCATTTATATTTTTTTTAAACAATGGTGACAAACGAGCACACAGTCCACCCGATGGCAGTAGTTGCGGTAGCCCATAGACATCTACATCTATCTTCGTTTGCGAATTTAAATGCAGATGCGTTGTCAGCCGTGAGGATTAAGATAGAATGCCTCTTTTCTAGTAAAAAGGGTCTCCGGTTCTCTACACTCAACATACGAAATACAGCAGCATTAAGCTGCTATTTTACGCTGGTATTCTGTGGGAGCGTGCTCCTTCCCCGGTCGAGTCGACTCATTCGTGCTACAACTATACTATTAATATAGCTGCAGCATGGCTCTACCACGTATAAATAAATATAAAATATTACGACGTTCACCTTCAAGTGACTAAAAACTGCTTTACATGCAGTTCAAGATAAAAAAGTACAATATTTAAAATTATAATTTTTAAATATATAGACTGAAAATCAGGATTGCGGTTTCGGCACAACTCATGCTGAGTGATGACCTTTTTAGCATGACTTCGACGTTCACAGAAAATTTATTAAATTTGCGTATTTATGTTATAAATTAGTATATATTTGTGTATGTCAATGGTCCGGGCCAAAATAAAGTGTTTCATTATTCATTTTTTCTCTCTTTCTTTCTAATTTGTGGATTTTCTGCTATTACTTCTCAGTTTGTATCACACCGTTAATTGTGGAAATGGAATAAAATGTGATTTACCACAAATTCTTTATTTAAAAAAAATTGAGTTAAATAACGAACGTGTACAGAGTTCATGAAAAAAATGATTAAACACGCTACTGGTCTAAATACTTCAACAGCTTAAAATAGTTTAAGATGTTTTAAGTCGCCTTTAGTTGTCGAAAGAAAAATTGGTAGGTGATAATTCCGGAATTTTCAACGAATTATTTCTAGCATTGATCATAAAAATATGTGACATTACAACATATATTATCTATACAAATAAATAAAATTTAAGTGTCTGTTTGTAATGTCGAAATAACAACATTTTACTAAATGCATATGAAACATTGTCTGTCTCTTTGTTTCGGTTAATCTTCGAAACGTTTGGACTGATTTTGACGGGACTTCCACTGGCAGATAGCTGATTTTATAAGGAATAAAAGGTAAAAAATAACTTACCCTACTTTTATTTTCGGTCACAGAAGATTAGAAATTAGAAAATTAAAACTCATGAAAATTGTGAACAAAATCCGATGCAAATAGAGAAGTATAATAATAAATTACTAGATATTATTCTATTTGAACGAAGTCGTGGGCACAGCCAATTATATATACATATATTTGAGACATTACATTTACAATATCATTA